AAAGATAAAAGCAACATATAGTCACAGCTTAACTTAGCTAACTAATGTTACCAATTTCCCAGCTAACCAGCTAGTTAATTTACATCAGTCATTAGCTAGCTAGATGTTTTGCTAACACTAGATAACTTAAGAATTGACTATATGTTGCTTTTATCTTTCAACCATTTGCGAAATGTAATCGTCTTTTCAGCATGGAGAGAGAGCCTAGCACATAGCATATGTAAGTACAGGAAAGGAGAAAGTTGACTGAGGTTCTAATGGGACAGGACTCAGGATGGGTCAATTGAACAAGCCATCCCCAGTTCACTGATCTTTGCTCTGAAATGTATCCCTGAAGGTAGCCTAAGTCACGCCCAACCTAAACAAGCAAGACCAAGAAGATTACTGTCCACTGTCCACCAAGATACCACTGAGGTGAAAGGACAAGCCTGAGCCTGTAGCCTAAAAGGCAAACCCGAATAAGGACCACAAATTAATCACTCCCACTCGACGAGCTTATTGTTGGGAGTACACAGTAATAATTGAAGATGACACAAATGAGTGTATCAACATTTTGATCAGCTCCTCTCTTCTCTCATCTGATTTATGGCAGCCGACAGTAAAAGGGTGCTGTTTAAAGAGATGACACTTGGTTTAATAAAAGACAATGTGCAGCTGAATGACGTGTTTAACATTTAGGAGGATCTATTGCCTTCTGTCACTCTCTCTCTCTCTCTCTCACCCAAACTGGCAAGGTAGATGACCACCCACCTAGGGCGGAAGGGTCTGTCCTAGGTTTTCTTGCCTCGTTAACAGGGCCAGTTTTCCTTCGGCCCCCGTCGGCCAAGTGCTTGCTCATGCGTTGGCGTACTGTTGGCGCCGTCTCTGCTAAATGCTTATAAGGAGTTCAGTTCTAAGAGCCTGGCTTCTATTTGAAAAGTGTTCCTCGGATATAACTTCTCGTTCATAAAATTGGCGGCTATACAAAATAGAAATGACATTGAAATTGGAATTGGAATTGAATTGAATTGAATTGAATTGCCCTGCAATGAGACCACGCACTGGTCACATTACCTGAGCTGTGATTGAAAGCAAAAAACTCTGGTCACCTCAGAGTGAAGCACTAATCTGTGAAGCAGTAGTACATCCTTGGATATAGTTTTTGAGGGAAAAACTGTTTTTCAGCGAGTGTTTTTGTTCTCATTAATATGACATTGTTGAGCTGTGGGAGTCTCAAGGCTGTGTGTAGACCATCAAAAGTGAGAGAAAGAACAGAATAGTGTGCTCTGGATCTCCTCCCTTCTTTTGACTCCTACGCAGCAGACATGGTCACCCACAGGCAGGTTGGACTGTGAATCATCCTCCTCCCTACTCACGATTGTCCTTTTCTTTCTCTCTCCCTCTCTCTTCTCTTTTTTCGCCAACAGTTATTCTCGAGAAGCCCATTCGCATCCCAAGGTCTTTGTCGGTGAAAGCTGCCAGTGTGCTCAAGGGCTTTCTAAACAAGGTGAGAGCAGTCCACTCCCAGTATGACCTCTTCTTCTCTCTCTGTGTCTGTGTACACTGCTGCTCAGTCAAATCACCATGCATGGGATCATGGCCAAGAACTTGGGCTGTGTTATGGACAGCCAGGGAAGGCCTCTTTATTGTAACGCATTAACCCACACATACACTCTGAGCCAAATAAAGTGCTTCTTTCCTTTATTTTTGTGGTGAGATAGAAGAACATGGATACAGAGCAGTTTACAATATAGTGTAAATTATGTTTGCATTTTACAGTCATACAGTCTATGGTCTCAACCTGGGGTCAGGGGTCACTTTATATGCAGACTGGGTCAAGGAACAAGAACAAGATACATCTTTTGTTTGATGTATCTGTAAATAGGTTTGAAATGTTTTTTCACTTTTATGTAATTCCTGCTTTAAGGAATAGTTAGTATTTTGAAGTGGGGTTGTATGAGGTACTTATAGTCGGTGTATTACCTACAGTATATGGAGGTCAGCATATGGAAAGGGGCTACAGAAAAACTTATTTTAGCCACATAAAAAGGCCCACTTCAAAAAAATTAATATCAGATTAAGTGTACGCTATAATGAGAATATTTTCACTTCTGCACTTACAAAACATCCATATTCCTACACACAACTGTATTGCGGCGCATATCAGCTGGGTCAGAGTTATAGCGGCACAGCCTGGAAAAACAACTAGCACCGTCTTTGAAATCTTTAGAAACATGAAGTTTGATTTCAAACAGCGGATCTGCGGCATAATACTGTGTATGGTGGGCTTATATGTAGGAATACGGACGTTCTGCCAAAGACAAAGGCTGTCTGATGGCGAGGTAAAGCAGTCATAATATTCTTGATAGGTTTTTGGGGTGGGCCTTTTTTGATGTGGCTAAAATACATTTTTCTGTAGTCTTCATCCATAGCAGTGCATTGCTCTGCTTCCCTGCCAGGATCTCTGTCTGCTTCTCCAAACTAATTGTGTATAATTAACAGGTATAGCACATTTTTCTGTGTGTACATTTGCAGAACTGTGCGTTTATGTATTTCAGGCCCTGGTTTCATGTTTTTGCATCAAGCTTTCGTGTGTGTGTGACGTCTTAGTGTAGCTTTGATGCATAAGGGGGCTTCTGTTCGTGCAAACAGCCATGTATATTTCCACATTTCCACACACTTTGTCTCTGTGAGATATCACCATAATTGTTGTGATGAATAGAGCACAGTTAAGCAGTCAGAGGGGGGATATATGTACACAAACACATACAGTGCATGATGAAACATGTGGGGCCAGCATTATTACTAATATTTCACATGGCAATTGTTTCTCTTTGGAGCTGTATAACGTCTGAAATTTAATAAGAGAAATACATTTTTTTGACATAGTCCCCCTTGGACTTTATTACTGTCCACATAAAGTAGAATTAACCTGATAGTAAGCCTGCAGTTTCTACCTCTAGATGCTAAATTATTGAGAATATTCTCTTGCTCCTGTTTACATTCTTGACCAGCTGTCTTGGTCCCAACAGGATCCTAAGGAGCGGCTGGGTTGCCAGGTCCAGACGGGCTTCACAGATATCAAGTCACACACATTTTTCCGCAGTATAGACTGGGACCAGGTAAGAGCTGAATGATATAACAACACGAATCATTAAATCGTTGTTGAACGTGTATTATAATTTACACTGTAATCTTTTAAAATATAAAGATTTCATCTTTAGTTATAATAACTAATTATTACTTATATAGCCCCTTTCTAGTCTTTCAACCACTTAATGTGATGTACACTACATGCCACACTCTCCCCATTCACACACATTCATACACTGATAGCAGTGGCTGCAAGGTGCCAACTGCTCACCAGAACGGAAACTAATCATTCATACACACTCATACACCGATGCACAGCATCAAGAGCAGTTTGGGGTTCAGTGTGTTGCTCAAGGACAGTTTTTTTTATCCAAATTAAAGCCACAAAGTGTACTACATACTGTTGGCTAGTAACCGATTACATGTAATCGGGATTATATAATCAGATTACAAAAATAAAAAGGTGTAATTAGATAGTTGTCGAGGATTAGTTGATTTTTTATTACATCTTTATTAATGATTAACCTTTTTTTCATCATAACCAATGCTCTATAAACCCTCTGGGCTCTATGGGTAGTCTACAAAAAATAATTTTTGGGAGGGGGGGGGGCATTTTACCTTTATTACACATGACAACTGAAGATTGATAGGAAAGGGGGAGAGACAGAGGGGATGACACGCAGCAAAGGGCCACAGGTCAGACCTGAGCCCATGGCCGCTGCAGTAAGGACCCAGCCCCTGCACATGGGAGTCATCTCCAACAGGCAAGCCACCCGGGCGCCCTAGGTAGTCTACAATTTTGATATAATGTCTGTCTAACTTAAAAAATGAAAATTTCTATTAGGGATACACAATAATTATTTGTGAGGATAAATTATCTCCTAATGGGAAATTTATATTATTATTTTTTTTTGGAATAATTAAATTAGAGGCATACATTATTGTTTGATATTAATAATAATTTATTTTTCATTCTTATACGCTAAAATTGATAGACTTTATGTTGTATGAAAGCCAAAGTATGTTTGAGAAGGTTTTTAATGAACTTACTAGAAAAAAATAAATGAACAGTTGAAGAGTCAGAACTGTTGTTTGTTGTGATTGTGTAAACAATAGTGTCAGGTTTGTTTAGAACAGAGCTATGGAAGCATGTTATTATCGGTTATTGTATTGGCTGAAAAAAAGTTTCTATTCCGCCCATTAGGTTGTAATGTCTCTAAACTTTGCCCTCTGGTTGATTTAGTAGCATACAATAGACTATTCAGGTTACAGGTTAGGCCTTTAGCATGTCAGGGACTTAACAAATATATTTAATTTGAATGCAACTTTCATACACTACAATACAGTAAATACATTAAGAATAAAAGGAAGTTGAAGTTTCACAGTTATTTCAGTCTTAGGCGATAGTCTGTGATAGTCGCCTTCCACCAGCTTCACCCAGTTCTAAGTAGTTTCCCAGTCTTTGTTTCAGCTGCATTTCCTTTTCTTTGTGGAAGTTTCCATCATATTCCACCTAAATCTGGATAGCTTCTGACTTTGTGGTGACTCGCAATTTTGCCCGTTGGGTGTAGCTAAGACGGTGACAGGTTAACCTGCACTTGACCCACTTGTGTGCACAGTTTGATTGACATCAAACAGCCCTCTGATGACAGCCTTCCCTGCTTTCTTCACAGTCATTAAAACCAGATTTTACAAAAGCATCTGTCCCACAGTGATTTGACTTTTGAAAACTGGAGCCAATCAAAATGTGGGACATTGTCTCAATATGTGGGATGTGGGACAAGGGATAAAAATGCTGTGCTGCGGAACACCTGGGGCCTCATGTATGAAAGAATGTGCAGCTTTCATACTGAAATAAGGCGTACTCGTTAATCTTGAAAAATACTTACACAAAGGTTCCACACATTCTCACGGCTGGTCTAAAATTTGTGCCATGGCATGCACATTCTCACGTCACATTCATTTTTATAAATCCCACCATTTGAATGAAAACCAGCAAACATACGTTCTGAGCCCCGTAGTCACCTGGTGTGCAAAGTAAGTAGACTTCTATGAGCCAGATACATTTAAAACTTCCTCCACTCCACGACAACATGCTCGGCAGACAGTACTGTCTTTCAGTGGGTTCAGTTTTAGTCAGGAAGGAGACTAAATAAGGCTCCAAAGTTCTCTTGAGGGATTCAATGAGCCCAGTGGTGGTCCCATTAGTAGCCATTTTTTTAAGCATGAGCTCACTGTATAAAATGAGCTATTGTGACCTCTAGGATAATCACAGCCTCATCAATCTGTACAACCACAAACTACAGACCAAGGGCATCCAGAGGACGGATGGCTTTCCTAGCTATATTGATAATAAGGAGGTTTCTGAGCACTGTGTCTGAAAAATATGATCTTTTTATACCAAATAACAGCAAGACCTTGAGGAACATGTCTTGGTGTCTTAATGTGGTATTTAGGGGGGATTTATGACCATTTTTATAAATTTTCATGTGGTCAGAAATGGTTACATTTTGCACCAAATCTATGTAACAAACTAAATCTAAACAATCTATTTATCATTATGTTCCAAGCCCTTATACACCCTAAACTTAAAATATTTTAATAGGCCTCCCACCAAAACACAACATTTATTACAGATTTATGACACAGTGCTAACCTGCATTCTCAGATTAATCTTCAGGTTCCTAGCTTTCAGATGATGTAAACTACTTAGGCATAGATTGTTGACCTGCTATCTCCCACTAAAAAAACCCTGCCCCCCTCCCTAAAATGATTATTATTGTAAGGAAAACTATTCTCAGTTATTATTATTATTATATTTGCTAGAATTAAATTTAGTTACATGCTAAACCTTAATTTGGGTGGCTGTGATAGAGTGGACCGTCTAGTAATTGGAGGGTTCCCGGTTTGGGCAAGATACTGAGCCCCAAACTGCTCCTGATGGCTGTACCCTCGGTGTGTGTATTTTTCAGCCTAGTATCGTCGTGAGCACTTTGTTTAACGCTCCAGATAAGCACTTAGCACCTTGCATGGCAGCCTTTGCCATCAGTGTATGAATGTGTGTGTGAATGGGCGAATGTGACAAGTGCTGTGTGGCCCTTTGTGTGGTCGGAAGATGTATAAAAAGCCCATTTATCATTTAAACCTAACTAATGGGATATGAAATGACTTTATAAGTAGATCCAATACTGGATACATACTGTAATGTCAAGGCCATTACTTTTACATGTGTAAAATGTATGTTTTTGAATTTAACTGGAGTCTCTGTCTTGTTGTAGGACATAAATCATAAGCAAGTCTTCTGTGGTTTTTGTTTATGTGTAATTTATGTAGTTGCCTGGTGAGTGTTACTACCCTGAGCATGAGTGCTTTTAATTAGAACAAAAAGCCTTTGCGTGGGATTGAAAATCACTGAGTGATTAGAATTAGCAGACTTCTGGGCCAGGTTCAGCATGCGTGTTAAAGAATACGGCAAGGACAGAAAACGATTTGCATGAGGAAATAAATGCGTAACTTTGAATGAGTTCCTCCTTTATAGGATAATCAAAGACATGTCTGTACATACAGCGCCATACACTGATGAGAAATGGCGATTCAATGAAAAGGCCAAACTTCTTTTATACAACATAGGTGTGACTAATGTGCAGATGTCAGTGACAGAGAGGTGTTTGAGCACTGTCCAACTCTGATGCTGCCTCAACAGTACTCCCATCCATCCATCTACCCCACACTTTTTAGGGGGTTGTTTGGCCTCACAGCCTCTCTGCCAATTGTCCTTGTCCGGGTCACCACCATGCTGGATGCCAATCTGTCACTGCCAGCTGAAACGCCCTTACCCCACGCCTCTTTTTGCCCTCCTAAAAAGCATTTGGCACCAATTCTTCCTGTGCCTGCTGTAGCGAACCCTGCTGCTCTCGCTTAATTATGTGGTAGGAAAGCCCTACACGGTGGTGGCATGGCGAGAAACGTGGAGGAATGAGGGGAGACAGAGAGGGGGGGGAAGGAGAGAACCCTGTGCGATTTATCACTCCCATTTGCATAATGGGATTAATAGGACCTCTGTGTGTATTCAGCAGTGTGAGCGAGTAGGAAAGGGGGGGGGGGGGGAATATAGATCAAGGCAAAGAGAGACAAGTGCAAGAATACACCTGCTTGACTGGCTAGTGACAGGAGTGGCTTGCTCACCCCCTGCCGTGATGTTTTGATAACATGGCCTCTGGGGGAGGGGGCGCCGCAGTGAGCAGACCTCCTCCTTTAACCCCAAGTGTGCTGTGACAGTTGGACCAAATTGTACATCTCATTTATTTACCACAGAGGAGGTGCAGGCATGCATGTACGTCTCCTCTGAGGCCTCGCTCAGATGGCCCACTGTAAATAATGCGGGGCTGAGCACAACATCTTACACAAACTGTATGCTTCCATCCTACGCACAACACAAATTCTGGAGCAGCCTTAATGAAGCTTGTTGAAGTTGGGCTTTATTATT